AAGTGGCACAGGGGTTGAACACGTGGCCACCAGAGCGAGGAATGTAATGAGAAAAAAGGCCTACCACGTGACCTTTTCCATCAGAGATGCATGCGATGTAAGAAGGTTCCGCCCGAGCTTTCCTTTAAAGGGGTTGGTTTCAATTAGTCTCGAAAGGGTGCTTCAATTGAAGTAGTTAACCCTATTATTGTCAACCGCGTTTTTAATGACCAATGTATATTCCATTCTTAGCGTCGATTATTCTATTTGAAAACAGTTGATTATTCTGTACTCTTTCTTTTCGTTCTCTTGAATCGAGAATAATATAGTTCAATTAATTTCGACGTTATGTTCCGAGATATCTTTTCTCTTAATAATAATAATTTGTTAAAAGTGAAGAAATAAATAACTTCACTTCTAGCACAAATCTCGTTTTCAGAAATAAAAAAGGAATATTGTTTGAAGTGTGAAAACTTAACGACTCCGTCGTATAGTATCGCTGACACTAAGCACATTATTCATTTCTCGAGTGTTTTGTAATATTTATGCTTCAGGCGCTTTTGATTTTTCATTAATCTTATAAAATTATTCTTTATTATTATTCTTATTGTATCTTAAGAAACAAGTCTGCCGTCTGGTGGCTATAATCATGTTTTGCTAGAGATACTTAAAATATTATTATTTTTTATCTCTCTATATCTTCGTCTATATATGACGATCGAGAAGACAGTACGCACGTGAGAGAGAATACGTGGCTTGAGGATAAGCAATCTTCCACACATGAAGCAGAGCAGTAGAAAGCGCGAAGAGGATTCTCTTCTCGCTTTCATTGCAAGCCGCATGATATGCGAGTTACATGGGGTGGAGAGTGGGTAGAGGGTGGCGGCATCGTACGTGCTCCAGAAAAGATCGAATTTCCTAAGCTTGCGCGAACTTCTAATGATAAAGATGGCAGAATGAATGTCATCAGACTAGAATCTAATGCATACGTATAAAAAACTTCGTGACAAAATATATTTTTTACGCATTTAATGCATTTTATAAATGCGTTATTTAATATTATTATTAAATCATTGTTTATTAAATTGATATCAAATTATACGAGAATATCTAAAACCGTGCATGAAATAATCTCTCTATAATTATTAATCTATCGTTTTCTTTCACTCTATTAATTATTATTACTCTATTAATAATTGTATCTGTTTATACATAAGTGAACGCGAAACTGTCACTTCATATATATATAAATAACATAAGTATACATTACAATAAATTAAAAAATATTAAAACAAGGACATTATTAAAATATGTATTTTCTTACTCGAGGCAGCACTCCGTTCTTGCATCATAATTATGTAAAATATTATTTATTTTAGCAGAAATAAATATTTCTAGTAATTAAATAAAGTATTGGTATTTCATGTCGGCCGTCCGAATTAATTATAATTAAATAACATCGCCGTATGTCGAGAGTAATTAGTTGGCAACAATTATTAGTTGGAATTGACTAGTATCGTTTAAGACATTCCGCAAAAGCGGTTCAATCGAATCTATTTGCGTCATTAACTTTTATTAGCAGGACAGGATCACCACAGATTCTAAAGGGTTTCAAATAATTTAGGAAGCTATCAGGGCAGCAATGTTGGTTAGGAGTTCCGCATCACACACATGCGACATCACTAAACAGGTAATTGGAGTGCGGCGACAGACTCAAAGGGTTAATGTAACAAAGGCTTATATTCCATGAGATCAAAGTTTCCGTGATGCCTCTAACCCACAAAATTCCACACATCTGACACATAATTTTCTTAGCAATTCTTGATAACTTGACATTTAAAACTATAATGTGCACTTTGTCGAAGGAATTATAACTGATTAATTCTTTAATCTAAACCCATTAAAAAAAATATTTGTAATTATAAGAAACTTGTACGCACCTAAGAATTAAGGAAAATCTTATATTTTTATCTTCCTAATTCAATATCCTAATCTGTTCTTTATCTACATTACGTAAATTTCTTTAATTTCTTTAAGCAAAACAAATAAACAAATAGATGAACCAATTCGACGATGTTCAGATAACATGATTTGAATAATTGAAATATAAAAATATAAAATAATATAGAAACTTAAATTTTATCTGGCATATATTTTCGTAGATGTTTTAGTCATGTGAAAACTATTCATTCAAACGGTCTCGGCGTTAGTCGATTGCACTACTTATTGAGTTAAAAGCAGAAGATTTGATGAGTATTCGTTAAATATTAAACATATGTGCATATTTGCGAATTCTGCAATGTGCAAACGATGCTCGCGGGAAAAGCTCGTACACTTATGAAAATGCATCGTGCATTAGTCGACGATAAATTTGCCTGGGTCAGGAAAATGAGTGCAACGCAGTCTATTACGCATAATGCTGCCTCGTAATTAATATCTGTGCAGAAATACACAAACAGATATATGAACTATCTGATTATATGGTGAAGTAAATCTAGTTATCTGACGTAGCTGAATGAAAAAAATATGGTGCTCAATGAGCTGCGTAAAATCTTAATTTGATATACAGATATAACAAAATATCTTTTTAAATATAATTGCTTTATACGATAAATAAGAAATTTTATCAAACAAATCGTATAATCACTGAATAATTATTGATATTAAAACCTTAAAAGAAAATGCTTAGTAGAAAAAATTCCGAATATTATAACAAACAGAATATTGTATTAATCTGCAGTTTATGCGGTTGTTAAATTATATTAAGTAAACCAACAGTTTATTTATATGTGTGTAAACAATTCGAGTAATATAACTAAGTGAGGCACTTAATTATATTAACGCGCGCACACTACAGTATAAACGAATGCAATTCCTAGTAAACATGATACATGAGCGACATTACAAAATTAATTGCATACAGAAAGTAGAAATCCCGCTTTGCCGTTTGCTAATTAAATACGTGGCGTTTACCGTAGAAATTCTTTTCTGTTTGTACATACTATCTCTTTAAATTAATTAATTAATTTGCTCGTCGGCGTTTATTTCAATTTTTGACAGAGAAACATGCAATTAATATTCCAACGTTTCATGCGCAGGTTGAAAACAAAATATGTCCATAGATTCTTGCTGCAATGTATGTGTGTATGTATAAATACATTTCAAAGAAATATACTCGTTATATACGTAACACTGCCTTGTATTGATATAATCATCTTTTATTCAATATAATTACGTAAAATTTCAATCAAAATAATGTAGATTAATTAATCTTAATGTAGATAGTTTATTATAAAGATTCTTGATCTCGGAGATCTATTTATTCATTGACCAATTCATCTAATTTCTCTCGAAGGATAATGGGATCGCACAGATATTAACAGGATTAATATGAGCTCTTGTTAGATAAGCGAAAGCATTTTTTAAAGGTCAAGTTATCAGGACAACATGTTATGGATGGAAAATTCAAAGCCTGTAAGAGAGTAAATAAACTTAGTTTGTGTTCGATAAAACTTCGATTACTTGGTCGAGCATCAGGATTTCATCTTGTCAACGGAATAAAAAGTATATCATTATATGTGCGTCAGAATACATTCTTAACAATTTTAAAAATATCAGACTTGTAATTAATAATTATAAAATTGTAAGATAATTATACAAAGATGATAATGGTAACGGGATCTTTATAAACGCGAATAAAAAGAATGTGAAAACTAATTATTTGAACCAAGCAAATCAGACGTTAGAATAGGAGATAGATTTTCTAAAATGTGTGATTTGATTTAACAATTTAATATGTATGAAAAAAATTATCATGTAATTGACAGGTATCTTCTATACAAGTATAATAAAGTAAATCGTTAAAAGAAAAAAATATTAGAAAAAATATTATGTTGAGAGAGAAGAATATTATAAAATATCTGATCTCGATTTGATATTTATTTTCCGTGACTTTCATGTTGAAAGTATTTTTTAAAATTTTCTTCTCATGATTTTGCTATTGTATGCTTATATTCAGTCAATCGATCCATTAATTATAGAAGGCTCGTATTTATTATATTTACAATAAAATTACTAAAATAGATGAATGTCCCACAAGAATAATCTCTCAATCAATATCTCTCAATCAATATCTTAATTTATGAAATAAGATATATTTGCAGATACAAACATAAATATAAGCAAATATAATTTATTTCAATAAATTATCTATTTTTAAGCGATGTTAAACAAAAAATAGCGGATTTAAATATCTCAAACAAACTTGTACATTTACTCGTATCAATGAAAAATATTGCGAGCACCAAGGAGAGTTAAGTGCAGATCTTCATAAATTTTAGAACCAACAATGCATCCGAGTGCAATTGTGGAGGGAGGAACGTTTCCGGATAATCTCCTGATAATTCTAGTTAATCGATAAATCATTCCCAACACGAGCAAGATGCCTTTTCGTGGGAGCGGCAGGCGGCCTTCGTATTCGTGAAAAGGACGAGACAATGGCCGGGTCTCGTGAACGGTTGATCAAGGCTGTTTCCCATGGAACGGGTCAATGTCCTGATACCACGATGCTCTTAAAAGAGCACATGGGAGTCCTTCGTCTTCAGTTTCCCGGCAGTTCTCGTGCTGTTTGGATCGTCTCGTATTTAAAGCACGTATTTGCGCGATATTTATTTAAACTTAAACACGATCTCTGCACTCTAAACGTTATGCTTCATGTGATTTATTATAATTTCTGTTATCATGATTAACAAATATATGACAATCGCGGAGATGATCGTCGCGCTTTTTTCACTTTGCTTTTTAATTTATGAATCGAGAAAGTTTGTGGAGTTTTCTCTTTGACATATGTGTATGATACTAACTTATTAACATTTCAAACTATATTTGATATCTGATAATACTTTATATTATAATTTTTTATTATACACCTGACATAAGCTTGACAAAACGATCGATCAACGATAGCTTATCTCGAGTTGCAATATTGTCCCTACAATATACATTATGCAAAAATTACTTACCCGATGGATGATTAGATTGCAAATTGTAGTCATCGACTTGTAATGTGCTGTTCGGCCCAGTTCTGGTAAATCTAACCACGTGATATTGGTTGTCGTTAACTTTCACGCCAACTTCGCCTATTGGATGATCGTTGGTGCCCATATTATAAACCGCAAAAACGTTACCTTCCACCTATGAAACAAATAAATTATTAATTTCTTGTTTCATTGAAATTTAATTTTTTGTTCGTGCCAATTACATTTAATCATTGGAAAAGAAATTTACAAAATTATATATTAGGTGTTGGAATTAATTCGTAGCGTTTTTTAATGAAAGAATGTTATTTATTTCACATGAGCATTAAAAAATACATTAATGAAAGTACTTCCCATCACTTGTAAAATGCTACGAATTAATTCCAACACCTAATAAATTAATCAATTTAAAAGGATATTTGATATATAATATGCTAATTCGTATTATATAAGTCTAATAATTTCGAAAAATCGATTTAACTAATACTATTATTTATATATGTAGATTAAATCAGAGATTCCCAAAGGATAGGTCGTGATTCGAGGAATCATAAAAAATTTTACAATGTTAAATTACACTTCATCACTTTGCGTAGCTGTACAAATTTGCCTATGTGCACGTCTTTTCACAATTTACTATGTAAGATTAAATTTTCAATAGATAATAGAAATTAAAATGATTTAAAATTTCAAAATAAACTTTAATTTCCAAACTTTAATTATCAAATTTCTTGCGTCTAAAAATAACTCATATCGATGTCAACATTCTATTATCAGAACAGAAATAGAAAGGAACAAGGGCATTCTTATTACATCCGTCATAATAGGTATTATAATTTGTCTCGTTATCTGAGAAATGGATTTATAATATTACATCCGATAAAAAATATAAAAAAGTTGGAATATACATAAAATAAAATACATAAATAAAATGATATAAATTAATTAACATATTCATTTTCTGTTTTTTTCATTTGTCAGATAGTTGCAACTATGTTTGTTGTTTTAAAAAGTGGATCGCAATCTATATAAGTTTGGGAAGCCCTGTACTAAATTATATAATCTATATATTATACGATATATATGTATAGTGCTTAATAATGCTGTGTAACTTCAAATTTATTATATACTAACAATTTCGATTTCGAGATAATCGTTACTCGACGCAGATTCTATTCTAAGCAATACAGCGTCATTAACGCTGGTAACGAAACCCAAGGCCACAGTATCTCTTTTCATTTCCGGTCGACGATCAGGCGGAAAGGTATACGTGATAATTCCTCTTCCTGCTCCGAATTCGTAAGCGATAGCTTCTGCGAAGTGAAACATATTGATGTTAAAGTGATGTTTCATCTATTATATATTAAGTGCTGAGATTATTCTTGCTTCGTTATTTATTAAATTATCATCCTACCATATAATAATTGAATCTTCGTTCTAAAATATATTTTTAGAAATGTCCTATTTATCAAGTTTCATCAATAACTGCGATTAATTATGGAAAATATTTCCTCTCGAAAGAAATCAATTCTAGCCAAACTATGAACTAATTTTACATCCCTTTAATAATTATTATATTGTAGAATAATCCAATAATTCAAACTTTAGTTTTGTTAATTTTATAGATAATGTGTTATTATAATAATGTAGTACATGCATAGGGTGATATTAATAGATAGCATTTAATAAAATATTAATTATTAATTAATTAGCGATTTTGTATGTAAAAAGAACAGCGTGGACGAATAATCTCTTTTTCCCCTCTCTTTTTCCCTTTCTCGAAACAAATGCAAATACCAGCATATCTATGTTTCTCTTGTCTATATTCCTTTACCATCGTTACAAGTCGGCCCGGTAAAACTCGTCATGTCGCAGTCACATGTGTAGCTATTCCACTGTTGCACGCATGTTCCATGATTGGCACAGAGATCATGAGTGCACTTCTTGCCCGGATGTATGTTGGTGTAAATGTCGCATCCGGATGTGACGAGAGAACTCGGCACGACGGCATCGGTAATGAGGTCGGTACTTTCCCCGCTGAGATCCAACGACGCCAGACACCCCTCGAATCCGTGACGGCTGAGAATCTGTTTTGGTAATTGGCCATATTGCGCCTTCTCCACTCCACCTGAAATAAATGAGACGTCAAATCTCTCTTACGTAACTTGTTTGACTTTTTAAAAAACAATCCTCTCTCACTTTTTTTTTCCTTTATTAATTCAGTTGCTCTGTTCAAATTTATTAAATGATCTCATATAGTTTCGATTTTTATGCGACTAAAAAAACCTTAAAAAATATAAAAAAATTTATGAGAAAAAGATCTTGTATTAACAGACGAAGTGAACAAATATTAGAGGAACAAATTTTTTAAGTAAAATATTAATAAGAAAATTAATTACTTTTGGGTCAAATAAACCCAAATAGATCAGTAGGGTTAAATATATTAGTATAAATATTGTGATTGACGTTTACTTTGACATTTTTAAAAATAGTATCATCCTTTAATTATTAAAAATCACAATAAAGCGGATATTTAAAATGTTTACACATTCGTTTGCATCGCGAGTCGCAACATAAAGCTTGTCGCAAGATGAAATTGCCAAAATGCAGACGGGATGTCGCGCTTGACATAAAATATCGAAACCGAAATTCGATAGTTAAATCAAAATCATCTCTCTCGCAAACTCTCGCAGCCTTGCGATATCCGCAGGCCTCTCGGCAATCGCGGATATCGCGAGTGTTCGACGAACCGAGACGACCACACGTCCGGTCGATCCCGCCGCCATAAATCCTGCGGGATCGCCGCCAGTCGAAAATTATTTCGACGGTCACACATTATACTCCGTATGACCGCGTGGATAGTAACTTCGAAACGCAATCGCCTGACCAATCAGCTTGTATGCAGTGTGAAAGTATCTCATCCAAAATATATGTATTAAAGAGGGATTTTACGGATAAAACAAAATGCCACAACATTCTTTTCCTCTCTATATTGTAATATGTAAAAATACAATAAATTTTAAACAATAAATCTAAATAATAAACTTTTAACTAAATAATATAATAAGATAAAGAACCAATGAGGAAGAAGTAATGGACGTTTGAATAAAAACATGTTGACATGCAGTGAGACAAATTTCAATTGAAAAAAGTCTTCATTATCGTGATTATATTTAGAATTAAATTTTTAACTGACTATCGCATTATGTAAAAGCTATTAGAGATACCTCGATACAATATAAACTTGATAATTAAATTCAATCAGAGTGAAATTTTGGCCGTAATTTTTGCGTTGAACTGATCTCATGACATGTGATTGCGATTTGGCAATCACTATTGAAGAATAATTGATGACTGATTTGCCAATTTATGCCAACCCGACGGTGATCGATAGATTTATTAATGAATTAAGCAACGAGAACGGTATGATATGGATCTAATTAATGGTAATTCATAGCGCGCTACACTGATACCGTAACTGAATTTCGGATCATTAGTCCAGACATATACAGATTTATCCTATCTATGCTATGAATTAGAAATGCAAAAATATCTGCATTATAAATGTTTCCTTATCAGTCGATATTATTCATATAAAATCATAATTTGTTTTGAAAAAATCAAACCATATTATCTACCGTCAAGAAATCGTAAGCTTTTTCGTAGTCAGACATTGTTTCTCGCAAATACATCACGTAACAGAAAAAGATATCTAAATCAATGATACGCAACCTGTGGCCCACTTGTGAATTTTTTGAGCTGATTCATCTAAATAATAAAATAGTTCCATAGATAATTATTACGAAGGTAAAATCAACTTCCTCACATAAATTACTTACGTTATTTATTGTTTGAAAAGTTATGTACTTACACAACGCGATAATAATCATCGCGTGACATCCCTCTCTTTCTCTGTAGCCTTCAAATTAACTATGGAATTGTATCAGGAAAGCAAAAAGTTCAAATGATAAATAATTCCTACATCGTGTCATATGAAAATCTAAACGATCGGAATGATACGTTAATGTTACACAGAAATTGCATTATAATCAAATTACTTCAAATTACGTTTCTCTAAATAATTAATAAAATAATCGATTAGTTTTTTTTATCGATGCTCAAAAATTTACAATAAAATAGCAATTATACAGTCAAAGCAAGTATTAAAGACGACAAGTAATTTATTTACTCAGTAATTTATGAATTTGCGTCGATAATCGGCATCTTAAAATAAATAGAGATAAGTTACCGATACGATTGATTGGCAAAACATGTCGTAGTGACGGAGAGAGGAAGTGATATGAAGAAAATTATAAAAAGAAATAAAATTTTTAGCATTTCCTTATAAGAATTTAATACTGGAAAGTAATGATTAATTACTTATTTTCAATATTAAAAACACTGTTGTTTAGTTTAGTTTTTAATATAAAATAAATAATTCGAAATAAATAATTTTTAGTATTAAATTGAATTTTCGTAAGGATTTACGTAAGTATATTCCTCAAACCAAAAGGGTTTCAATCATCATTTACATCTCTATAACATATGTATGTCAAGGCAAAGATTATCAAAAGCATGCCCATTGTAAATAATTGCCTAGAATAAAGTTACCTTATCAAATATGACATATCAAATACGACAATATACGACTGCTTGAAATGGTATGTATTCATAACATTTTGGAGTTCATATATTTTGCAGTTATATTATAAAAAAAATAAAAACAATGTCAAAACAATATGATTTTACAAATATTTGTTATTTTCCACTTCTTTCTTCAGGTAATTTCGATTATAATTTATTAGTATATTAATATATCTTTTAATATAGTATATTTTTTTTTCCCTATTAAGATGATTAATTCTAAGTAAAATTGAAGTTGTCCGAGCTTCTCGAAAATAAAATCTTATGTAAGAGCTCCATCCTGTATTTTTCACTTTTATCATATTAACTTTTTTACGTACTCTTTGTATAATTATTGCCTTTTTTAATTAAAAAACGAGCCTGTATAAAAAAGATTTAAAAAATGTAAAAGCAAATTAAAAAAAATTATTATATTAATCATTGGATTAATTCGATCCAAGCATACTTTTTATGTTTTTACGAATAAGACTGGCGCGGTCGCGCTCTTATCAGCCAGCTGTATCGTTATCATGTCTGATATATTTGGCAAGCCATGATTAAATCGTATTAATCATAATAACCGGTAAATCGCTCACTCACGAATTTCTTACATTGCGGCTGCGTTGCGGTCGAATGACGGATGTGCGGCTCGCTGAGTTAGTTAGAATCACGGAGTCGATTTGCGTGCTTCAAGCAGTCGTCTACTCATCATCATCGAAAGTGCATGAATTCATAAAGCGCTTGAATTCGTTAATTGACCTTCGGTGTAATCAATAATCAAGCTAAAAAAGCTAGACGTCATTGCGAGAATCGATGGAAATTATTTTGACGCGCGATAAGAAGATAATAGCGGTGTTATCATTCTCTTGAATCAGTATAATTCGTCGAATCTCGAACTCGCTAATCACGTTACCATAGTAGCTTCAATACGTCATGAGATATATTAAATCGACGCGGAAATTCAATAACTTTTATTTCATAAATTATTGACCGTTATGTCTCTTCGCGAGCTCGCCATTCGCATTCTGCTAATCTCGATTGTTCGCTTCTCAACGACGTCGATCATCCAGCCGCAAAGATTGTACATTGTACGATTTTCGCCGGAATCAGCGAGGAGCCCGGAACATATTCCGGACAAATGGAGGACAGTACATCCGAAGTTCAAAGCCCCGCAAATCGAGATTCGATTGATGAAGGGTTACGTCTCGCCGGACGAAAACTGGATGTTTGCCAATGAATACAAGTATTCAGGAAAAGATTATCAGTACGTATGTAAATGTGACAAAAAATATATTTAAAGACATGTTCGTTCGGGTCGGAACAAATTAGCTTTTAGATTAACGTCTTATTTTAATACAAACGATGAAATAATCATGATGATCTCTCAGAGTTTATTATAGGTTTATTATACACGGAAAGAACAGTTTTGTTACACGGAAAGTACAATTTTGCTGAAGTTTAACTAGATTTAAAAATAATTTTGTTGGACTATCAAAATAGATAATATAATTTTGTAGACCGATTAAGCTTGATGACAACGCTGCAAAAAATTTTAATAATCTAGCAATCAGCTTGAGCGTCCTACATAGTTATTTTGATGATTCGAACAAAATTATTTTCAGATCTGTTATTAACAGTTTATATAATTTCAGTCCGAATCAAATTTCAAACCTTCTTGCCTCTTTTCAAATTTACAAATAAATGTCTTTTCGAGATCAATCAATTCATCCAATAACTGACATAGGATGGATAAAGAAAAAAATTTTTTTATTAAAGCTTCAATTTATATTTAATTTTTACTCCGCATTCAAATTATAAAAAAAGAGAAGCCTTGAACATGGTAACAGATGGAAGCAAAAATAATGTAGAAAGTTAAAAAAATTCAAAATAATTAAATAAGATGTGTGTGCATTATATTTGTATTTATAATCAAAGTAAAGTGAAAAAAATATTAGTTTAAAAATTGCATATCACATCTATATCAAGCTAAATTTTTAGATACTTGAGGGAAACTGTTCTTTTCATAGATTTTCCGAAAAAGTGCATCGTGTCTGATATACAAAATAAGTTGCAACCTGAACGAGACGAAGGCATTTTTAGATTGTTTGATATATCCAGATCTATATTTTTGATGATTATTGAATCAATATCTTCTAGTGTCTGATACATATAAGAAAAATTAAAATAAATGGTTAAAAAATAAATAAATTATAGAATATGAAATAATAAGAATATAATTTCAAATGTATTACTCAATAATGCATAAGAACGACGTATTCGATCCGAAAATGCAATAAAGCCAAAACTGAAAGACATTAACGACGGCGAATGCACATCCAAACGTTATTAATACTACAATAACATCGTTAATGCGAATAATCTTACACAATCGTAAATCGATTAGTGGCGCAACAAAGACGACATCGGCGACAAATGAGGAGAAAATCCCGCGAATTGAAAACGGCGATATGGAAGCAGGAGAAAAGGAGCAAGAGAATAGTGTTCAGGATAATATCGTGATGCCTGATAGATTTATCCCACAGATTGGATCAAGGAATATTATTACAGTACCTACATACTGTCCCGAAGGACAAAGAAAAGATAGTAGAGGACGTTGTAGAATTGTCATGTGAGTTACCTCTTTCTTTTTAGGATAATCCTTAATTACAAAAAATCTAATAACCTTCTCGATAAAAAATATATAATTGAAATACGTAATATTCGAACGAATCATTCTAGAAATTCTGCAATTTAAATTTTAACGATGAATGAATCAGAATTTTATAACCATAGAAAAAATTAAAGCATGTTTTCTTGTCTTGACACTAAATATTTTGAAAAAATATTGTTTTATTAAATTATATAAATATTCTGTTATTCATTGTTTTCTAAAAGTTCAGTTTGCGACATATGTTTCTAATGTTAAAACTGTTAGAATTTTGTATTTTGTTTAAGAAAAAGTTAACTATAAATTGATTAATTGTAATATTAATATTATGTTGAAAATTTTAGATTACTTTATATGGCAATTATTAAATTACTATTAATTTGTGAGATATAATCATCAAATTCCTAATACACATCATTCAGTACATATTTATACAGGAGTTTAATAATCGATTTTTACTTTTTGTTATAGAACGTAAAAATCATAGAAAGACAGAAAGATGGAAGACAAATAAGGAAACAATTAAATAATTAAAGCTCTCCAGATATTTATTGTGAAATATTGAGGACATACTTTAAATTAAGATGATGTGCAATTTACTTTAAATTAATAAAATGCTATATTAAATTTGTGTATCTTTTTAGCGCGTTTTAATATATCCAAATATGATTTTATCTAATCGATATAGCAATCTTATATTTGACATATTTTTATATTTGATATATTAGTTATAAAAATAAGTTTCATATAAATTGTCAAATTAAAAACAAATTTTATATAATACGTGATAAACAACAGAATATGATTTTATCAAATTAATACGACAATCTTATATTTGGTATAATAATTATAAAAGTTATGCATAAATCAAAAACAGACAAACGTAATAACATTACGTAATAGCATGTATCTAACTTTTAATCTATGATATAAATTCTACATATTCAGCAAGACGGTCAATATTTTTGAAACTTATAAATTATTGTATTATATTTTTGTATTAATATTTTGTATTAATATTTTTCAAAACGCGAGAACTGAATCATAAAGATATTTTTACATGTGTAGAAATATTTTTGCTCAATAAAACAAAAAAGAAATAACTTAAGCATGTTTAGATTAAAGAATTTAAGAATCATGTATTTGTCAGTATAGTCTCATCAAACAGATTTTGTGACAAACGTGGTAAGCTGAATGAGGAGAATGTAATTATAATATAATTCATTAAACTAATTAAGAAACCAATACATAAATGACATATTTAACTTATACAATAAACGGATTGCAGATGTAAATCACGACTGACTAATTAAATTAAATTAATATCGCGTACACGCTGTTATTTTATTGTAGTAATATCTCTCGAATGAAATTGTCGAATAGAATCCTGATTAATTGTATTGCCGCGCGTTATATAACGGGTGGATTACATAAAGGAAACGCGGCATTCAGATTATCATAAACATTATATAAAATCATGAGACATTATATAAAATCATGAGACGTTATATAAAAAAATAAATTAATATTAAAAAATATTTTTAAAAAAATTTTTAGAATTATCCAGATTATATTAAGCTTTCAATTATTAACGACCAATTATACTTTTTGTGCAACGTTCATTGTTAAATTAATTTAGTATTGTTAATAAAAAATCTTTTTTTATAGTAAAATAAAAAAATATTTAAATCGTATAGTTGAATTATATATTATTCCTCCCTTCTCCACTTACCTATATACAAAATGCCATCGAGATCAAGATTCTCGTTGCTACCTTGGCTGTTGACAGCGGTCACGTGATCGTCCACAGAGAGTGTGTGCCTCTTTGCAGCAGGTCTGCCAATACTGACGGCATGCCATTTGCCATCGTTCAACTTGGATTTTGAAGTGTCCCTGACCCTGACAGCTCCGTCGCCTAGGTCAAACACGTAGTGTACGTGTCCGTTTACCAGCTCGACCGCAATGAAATCATGCTCTCTTCCGGCATTATAAAGGATCAAGCCGTTCGCTTCGCGCGTTTTGAACTGAAAAGTAATTTACAAGTGTAAGGCGATGAGTTCTCCCTCTTTCTCTCTGTGCAGATTGATTGATTATATTCTTTTTACGATTGATGATAAAATCTTTATGATAAAATAGACATGATAAAATGGATATCGCGGATAAAATGGATTTTTTTTTTACCGAAAGCTTGTCATATAATATCTATGACACGTGAATGAAAATATTAATTTTCACCTGGAAATAAATGTTGGTCTCCAAGTACGCTTTGAGTACCGGAAGTCCTACGAAAGTGTGCTTGGAGGTGAAGGTGACCGGATGGTGAACCGGATGATTTCTTTTCCCAAACTTGCCGGTGACTCGAATAATAGGCGCGACACCCTGATGTGAGGTTTGATGGCTTCCAGCGCTGCGCGCAATCTCCAGGTATGGATATCCGTTGAACCAGATCTGTTGCAGCTGGCCCACGAAATGTGGTATGTCCTCGCCTGCGTGAAGATATCCGCCTACGTGGAGCGTTCGAAATTCCAAGATGCCCTGCTTTCCCAGCTGCGCTTCCGCTACATTTGCATACAAACAGCCATTCGTCATTAAATTGAAACGCGAATTAAGTTTAAATAGAAAATACCAAAATTTGGAAAATATTTACGATCTTATTGCTTATCTTCGTCTTCAATGAAAATAATTTAATGTTAAAAACTATATTAATTAATAATACAAAAATTATATGTATATCGTATCAAACTTAGTTCTTTCATTACTGCGTTTTAAAATATTAAATCAAATGAAAAACACGTTATATGTTATAGATTTAGCTATTTACAATTTATATAATTTTTAATTAAAAATTTTTTTATTTGATGTATACAAGGTGATAAAACATTTAGTTAGAAAATTTTGTGCGTTCATCAAATTATCTGGCTAACAAATTGACGTTATTTGTCGTCATTTTAATTGAGTTTTATAGTAACGTAAATTTAAAGAAACAAACTCTGGAATTAATTACGCCTTATTAGATACCAAAAAGACTTCAAATATTAAAAGAATCAAAAGATTTTCATCGATTAGTGACCTAAAGATCTCTTTATTGCTTGTCTGAAAGAATTTATTCATAAAAAGATGCATAGCTATCACTGATGCATTTCTAAAGCGCTTTAAAACTTACTTCAAAGCTAAAGATGAACGTTTTGAATGTTAATTATTATCTTCGATATTTAATACAGTATAATTGACATTTTAGAATTTTTTTTCGCAAATATACGTTACTAATGATTTCATAAACATATAACTTTATGGCCAAACTTTTTTGTGCCACCTTATAATATATTTTACTTAGAGTATACCTGTATACTCGAGTGTTTGCGAAAGTATCGTGTATGTCAGTGTCTAGTGAAAAGATGGATGAAGAAGAGATTTGATCACTGGGTAAAATTTTCAAAGGTTCGTGAATGCACGAAACTTTAGCATTTAAACTGAACTATTGAACAACGCCAGGCTAAGACGGGAACCGCATGTGTTTCGCTGTGCAGCAATTATCGTCCCAGCGCGATCGATTGCGCTGAAGTAAAGGCCGTGCAGAGCTGCTGCAATTTAGGCTATTGCCACCTAACTCAATATTGCCGGCACTCGCCGTCAGTTTAATAGGGTGATCCGAGAGACAGCTTTGCGAGGGTGGCTGTTTCACGGTGGCCACTGCGGCGGAGTTGTTTTGCAGGGGCCGATTGGGGCCAGACTGATTGGTAAGCCAATCACGTGCTGTTCATATTATCGATATTAATAAGATACGAGATGTGCTCGATTGAATCAGCGTCCCGTTCCTATGGAAATGTCGCTAATTGCTTTGATTATCTTATATTATTTTCACATAAATTATATAATATAATACATACGTAATGTACAAATTACGTGATATTTGCAATAGAACTGATTGTGACAATCCTCCAAACTGTATAGAGTCTTCACGTCAATTTGAGCACGACGATCTTAAATGGCTCGCCAATATGACAGTAGCAATATTGGCAGAGACATTATAACGACGCTGTCAAACGGATATGATATCGATATTAAAAATGGTTGATTATCGAGAGAGGATCGTATTAAGATCTCCGATATATCGATATTGTTTGCTCATCCGTAGCGTGTCCCTCGTTCCGCTAACCGCGGAATTTGTGCGCGACGAGAGAGTCCTGAGGGAATTTCTGCGAAGTGGTTTACCGTTGATGGAATCGCGCGGGGATATAATTTACTTTATACTTGAAGCGACGCTTTTGCGACGGAGTGCCACGAATGCCCCGGCAGACGTCGACCTCCTCCCTCGGTATCACCGATTCCGGATGCACTTTTCTCGTTGCGCAGCCGGCGGCGGCGTGAAGAGCATTTCGAGGAGTCGGCACGATAAAAAGCGCATTTGCATGCCCACGATTTGTAATCCGTCCGCTGGATGTCGGAAAATCGATGGCACTGACTCGTATCTACCGCTCGTAAATAATACGGTCGGCGAATCGGCGTAAACAGAGAAAAATGGACGTTCTCACGCGCGGCCGCGAGCCGAGAGAATTCTTTGCCTTGGAGAAGAAAACGCGTGCTTTTCTTATCGATCATACACTAAGAAAAATTTCTAGTTGAAAATGGACGAATCAGAATTATCTGGTTATATCTTATATCTTATTATAATTCTAGATAACTGGATGTCCAATTATGATGCTCAAAGTTCTGATTGATACGATTAGAATCTTACTGGTTTATTTTCAAGAAATCTTTCTTAGTGTATAAGCTTACTTGCACAAAATAAATCCAAAAGCGTAGAAATAGAATGAAACTTTTTTACACAAAACTTCACTTTCGTGATTCATTATAAAAATAACAAGTTTAAGAGGTATTGTATTTTTCAAAAGATTCTAAACAGTCTTCTTCACCCATAAAATGTCTTTTCGTCCTTCTATCTTAAAATAAATATGCTTTATATCTTATTCATTGTATTTTATCGCTCGATTGCCCCTGAGATGATGACTTCATATGGCTCGCTTATATATTAGTTGATACATTTTTCAGTCTCGTCACTAAAAATATCTTTGTCATTTATAAACGAAATTTTCATCCACTAATATATTTCTCACGTTTGACACACCGATCGAGTGCAATAACGACCGCAGCCTTGGAAAAATCTTCGATTAACATTCATAAGAGTGTCTCGATTCGAAGAGTCGCCGACAGAATGCAAAAGCGAACGCAATGCGCGATGCATTTTGAATTTGTGATTGCAGGAGAGTTGAGAGCACCCGCGGGAAACTTGTAATTTAACCGATAGAAGAAGTGTAACCAGAAAAGATGAAGTTTTAAGCTCTATCAAAATTGAAGATATAATATAAAAAAGAATTATAAATAGTTTTTTTAATTGTTTCTTGAAATTGATTAAGCATACAAAGGAGGCTACTCATTAACTCATAATTATTTGTGTTATATTAATTACGTACTCTTATTTGCATATGCGGGAGATTGTATAATTAATTATTTATTATAATTACACACATTAATTCGTTCAGAATGATTGTGCAATGAAATTATAAAATCTACATATAAATGTCGCGCAACAGAAAAATGTAATGTCGGTGATTTTCTTAAATAATTTTTATTATAATATTAAATAAATCATTTATTAGTTTTTTATGTTTCATTCAAAATTGAGATACTCAAGATGTACTATAATTGTAATTGAGTACTCATATAATTATTAAATAACCTAATAATCAACGTTAAATTTTTATAAATACGGACAAGTAAATTATTTAAAAAAAAGCATGCAAATTTTACTTTAAAAAAAGTATAAATATATGTAAGTTTTATATGTATGTAAAAATACAAAATGTATATTTGACAAATCTGTGCATTAAATATTTTTCTCTGTTTCGTTTTGCTAGAATGACATCAATCTTTCTAAGTTTTGTAATATTGGCTATATCGACAAAGTCTAAAGTGTCAGATAGCTGTAACGTATGTTCCAAGTTCTTAGTTTCAGGAAACTACTATTTTGCAACAAACCAGTAGTTTCTAATTCGCTATTTGTCCCATTTGCACAACTTATGCGAGTGCGATGAGAGAGGTCTCGAAACTTGCGTGAAAAATTGCTCAAGAAATTTTTAATTTCGTGTGCCTGCTCATCGATCTTGCGAAACTTTCTCGGCGATTTTCATTAATTATTCAAATTCATGGAGCAGCCAAACTGACGCAATTATTCGTCTCGTAGCTTGATGAACTATTCGAAAATATTCTATACACGTAAAAATTATTTTCAAAATAAAAAATACTTACGAGACTTACATTTATATAATTAGAACTTGCATGTACGAAAAAAAATGTCTGTGCCAATTTTAAACATAAAAAGTACGTAAAATACTAGTCCAAAACATGTCGATTTATTGAAATTATTAAAACTAAACACTTTTTTTTTGCTTTAAAATTTCTTACTTTTGAGACAAATGAAGTACTACTATTGTAATATTTAGAGCTACAAGAGAGCTATTCTTTATAATAAAGAGGACTTGATGTTAATAATTTGCGCGAGTCTCTCTACATTTTCCCAAAACAAGCGAAAGATTTATAAAACTGTCACACCCAATGACTCATTCGATCATCGCCAACAGCGATAGCCGAAAACGACAGGACGATTTAACTCTGAAATGATCGCCGTGCCAATTTTCGCGACTCGTCGGTCCGACAAATAACAACACTAATAACGAGCGTGGGTGATGATCGAGAGAAGGCAGAAAATTATTTTCCGCGCGATAGCGTCGTTTCTACGCGAGGCCACGGCCGCGTCGTACGGTCCTCGCATAAATCTTTGGTAGACCGAATGATCCCGCCGCGGTGAATCCACCGACTGATAAATCTCGATGTGGAAATTGATTATCGGACGGGAATTCTCCATGGCGACTCCACCCTCGCTTCGTGTACACCTGTATTTATACGCTCGGGGCAATTTGGTCGTACGATGCAGTTAATCCTACCCTCTTTCTCTCTCTGCGTTTCCTCCCCATCGTTATCCTCTCTCCTAGTACTTCATGCTTTTCCGTCGAGTATACAGACGTGTACGTGTACTCGATTCCAGTCAAATATTTTTATTTCCCAATTTTGAGGACGCCGTAACTTTGCCATAAAATAATTAAGTTCGACATTTGCGTCTATCGTTGTTTGCTTATTTTTCCATGTGTGCTTATCTTTCCACTTTTTGTTGTAATTTTTTATTTTTCTAAGAGAGAGTCTGCTGCAGAGGTGACTAAAGATATAAGAGAATCTGCCAGAGAGAGTCTAATAAGATTTTTGACGTCGTAGTGAAACAGAATTTTTCAAAGATTTTTAAGTCTGTAAACATGATGTTAAAGATTAAGAATTGTTCCGAGCTATTGATAAATATTGAAGAAAGTAATGGAAAGAAATACTGAAAAATCATATTATTTCTTATAAAATATTTTCTAACATGTTCAGCTATTATTAATACAAAAATTTGTGTAGACTATTTGGGATACTTGAAATGTGTTAAATTTAACACAAATTTGCAACTGTATATCTATTCTGAATAACATACTGAAATTTGTATCAATAATTTTTCCTTTTCTTTTAATCCTTTTTTATATAATAATATTGTCAATTAAACGTATTATTGCGATTAATCATACCTACGAGAACAACGTATTCTGAGCTGTATTGAACGCGATTCCTCCCACATATCTGTCGATTTTAGCTTTCGTATTTCCACGTGCGTTCTCTTTATGTATTTCTTTGCGTACTTTTTTCTGGCCTCGCGACTTCCGCCACGGAGATTCCGCCACATATTTATGCTAAATAAGGATTTCGAAATATGATATTGCTCCCTTGCGTGGGTTCGCCTTGCGATTGGAAGTTCGAACGTGCGCATGCATATACGATGCATAAGGATCCTTCGAGCTGGTGCAATCGATGCGACGTGCAAAGTACCTCTGCTTCGAAATGTCATGACAGGGAAACTCCCCTCCTTCGAAACTTGCAATGCGCCATAAGATTTATTGAAGAAAAGAAATTATTCCGCGTATAATAACCTTACGTATAATTCCCGTATAATAATCTTCTTTTGATAACTTGCTATGTCAATGTAAAATTAATTTATACAAGATTATCATGTTAAGTGCATTATCTTCATTGCACGTTTATTAATCAATTTTGAATTAATTTTTCTTTTATGAAGATAATTTCAATCTTTGAGCTATGACTAAAAACGAGAAGACTGTAATTCACAAGACAGAAAAGAGAGATTCATTTTCATAGAACTGCGTAAACTTAATAATGTTAATCGGGTTTAAAATAATGCTTCTTTACGATCCCAAAATCTAATTAAAAAACTTGAAATACTTAAAGCATCGAATTTTTAAATGTCTAAAACAGTGATTTATATACGCAGATTTTCTTTTTTACTGCAATGTGGAAAAAAAGTAAAGCAAATGCACTTTGCGAAAGATGGGAGAGGAAGTAATTATTTTGAAGTAAAAGCATGATACAAGAGAAAAAGAGAAAGATAAAGAGAGAAAGCATATCCTGCATGGTAAAAGCATAAAGTAAAAAATGGAAGTAAAATAAAAGCATGAAGCATAAGAGAGCAATCTCGAATGAATAGCCTTTTGATTTTGATAATAAAACGACCATTTGTGTTGTATTTTAAAGCAAAACCCATTACGCTATCCTGATAGCATATCAATAGCTCTACAATAAAAGTTTTTTTATCTTTATCGTATTTGCTGTAATCACAATTGTAAAAGTAAATACTTTTGCTTAAAGAATAAACGAATTCTTTGATATTTTTTGTACAAATAATCACTAGTTTCACACATTTTACGCTTACAATTTATTGTCGCCAAATTGAGAAATGTATTTTAAACTATCATAATATCATGGAAAGCTAATATGGAAATTCTAATTTTCCTGAAGCATAATTCGCTTTTACACTCATTACGAATTCAGGTTTAATTACGAGACGACTTTAAACCGCGTGTAAAAGCTTTAGTAGAAAAGAGAAAACGATCTATTGATTACTATAAAAGCAAAGCTACTATCATCTGTATTTAGAGTAAACATGTAAGAACATCAATTAAATAGACTTATTATTCTCGCACCAACAATTATTTTATGAAATTCTATCTTAAATAATGTTAAATTAAAAAAACAATTAATTATTGTTCTTTATGTTTATTAATTTATATAAATCATATATCTTAAAATATCATTTGCAACAAAAATAAAAAGTTAATTAACAATCAATAATGAATAAAAAATTAAAACTTCAAGTTTTTGTTTCAACTTAATACCTAATGTAGAAATATTGTTCATGCATGGAAATTGATGTACTTTTGGTACTTTCTATTTCTTGTTGTTTTTCTTTTTTTCGTCAATATTCTGAAATAGAATCGTCTTTTTCATCTCGCTATTTCTCACACCTTACGATCAGAGACGCCACTTGCATTGCAGCAGCACGAAACCAATCAACTGTTTGCATCTGGTACCGACATACAATTTGCTGCACTTTGCACAGCGTCCTGTTTCCGTAATAATGTAGTTCGTGTCTAAATTAATCGACTTTTCTTCCAATTTCTAACACTTTGTCACATTTTAAATTCTACTATCTCATAAATTAATTTCAGCAATGAAACTATACAGAACGTGTTTGCATTGGTTCAATTTGATTTGAAGATTTTAGAATATTGATGCACAAATGCAAAAAATTAAATGCATATTCTGTCGAAAATACGTCCAATAATATATTCGATGATTTGTAGCAAGTTTTTTTAATATAAAAATATCAACGTTTATTCAAGACTAAAATTAATTTAAATAGAACGGGGCAGATGTCATTAATTTTGCAGTTGTACGTAAATAAAGCCTCATGTGAAAGAAATTTATTTTACATTTTCAATTTATCTTGCACAAAATCATTCATTTCTCGATATTACCATGATTTTAACACTCTACACAAAACGCACGTTTCGCATCAATAAACCGCTTTATGAGTTTTGAAATCTCGTTCTACGAAAATACGCATTGTGTATACAATGATGTAATTTGTTGGCTTTAATAACGTATATATTTCTATGGAATATATATTTCAGTCGCTATTGTATATAGCGTTACCATTGCAGATATACATACCTCGTATTGCTGTATCATCGTCGATCTGGAATTTGAGCAAATTGAATCGTCTGGAGAATTTTAATGTATGCCACAAGTCATCATTAAGACCTTGCCCAGTTGTCAATAACTGAAATAAAATAATATCTGTTAAATCTTAATCGCATCCTTTAATTCATAAAAAATTTTCTTCCACTCTTTTTTTCTTTTTCTTTTTTAAACATAAGTAACTTATTACACTATATTTTACCGATTTTATAAGAAAATGTTTAAGGTACATAATTATAGATTTTTATAAAGAAAATTTAATAATTATAATATTTATATTATAAAATAATTCTTCTTTTTTTCTTTTGTTTTTTTTTATTTAAAATTTCCAATTTTTATTGCATTTTTGCAGCATCATGTAGCAATAGGTTTAACGCTATCGATAAACCACCTCTATGAGATGCCCGCCATTCGACCAAGTCTCATAAATCCAAGCAACTCGTCACTATCTGGCACAGTCCCCATTGCAATATACGATATCATGCGTTGTGTGACACCTGACGCACGTTTGTCATCTAATGTCATCTATGCATCGCCGCTATTGCCGTTGAAAATTATTATTATCACAAGTACTAATTCATCGTTCAATTCGTGTCAATCGCTAAAAATATATGCTCTGTATTTAATACGTACTAGAAATTTAAAAATAGTTTACTATCAAATTTCCATTCAGAAGAAATTAATTTTAACTTTCGTTAGAATCTTTGTGAGTAAAAACGAAATGTGCATTACATGATAAATTGTCCTGATAAACTGGATTGTATTTTTATGGAGCTATTCTTTCCGAAACTTTTTTAGTTTTATTTAAATCAAAATCAAGTTCTGCATTAAGAGGAAAATTTAACTTTATGTGACGTAGAACATTGTAATATATGTTATATAGTTTACGTTATATAGCTTTTAAAATTATATGAAATTACTGAGAAAAGATTTCATCAGAGTACATTTTATGTATATTTTTTAAATTTATGTATAATGTTATTAAAAACAACTATGTTACTAAATAACTGCTTTAATAACTGGAACACGAACATGTGCCTATAGTTTTTTTATTCATTTTTCAACGCAGATTAAATAGGCATAGTCGAATAAAGTAATTAAAATTGAAATAATAGAATGGAAAAATAGAATAATTGAATAAATGTAATAATTTTTTTGTAATAAAAGTAACAGTATAATATCTCTATTAATGAAGTACCTACTTTATCATTATCATTTATACAGTACTCTCGCCAATAAAAGAATTAATAATTTATCGAAAATCGCAGATAATCTCGCGGTCGAGAAAAGCTCGCGGTTCGAAGCTACCGCGATAGAAATCTTCGTTGAAACGTTCTCCAACTTCCCAGGAACTTCGTGGAAATCTGGTTTTCCGTAGACTAATCGTCGAGCGTCGCATTATCGTATCAATTATTCCGTCCAATTAACGAGTCCGTGTAGGTACAGAGATTGAAACATTACCGTAAATTACTACGTCTTGTACGTTCGTGCTTATACGCGTGTACTTGTAGATCTGCACGTTGGCTCCTCATTCACGCGCGATACGAGAGTTCCAAATGACTTCGACCCAAGATTGTTAATCCCAGATTAACGCAACATCTATTAATATCCACAATAATAATGCCATAGTTGGGTCAATTGCTTCCCAACTAATTCTCCTCAACGCTTAGCTTAGACGATTCATAATTCGGAATTATATTGGATATATAATTTTATCAAATTAGAAATTTAATGAGATATCAATGCGAGAACAATTTGTGTTATATTAATCGTATATAATATGTGTATATTTAAATTATAATTAAATAAAATATAAACCTGCATCCAATTATTTTTTCCATATTCTGTTATTGTTAAATATATCAATTAGTGAACATAAGATGTAATATTTCAGAATATAATATTTTGAGAATTATATGTATTTGTAAAGGTCAATATAAGAGAAGAAAAGAAAAAGAGACAAAAAGTAAATTGTACATTTATGCATCATCTAATAAAATAGCTGCGAAATCGAATCGGCCGATTTACTGTTCATTCGACCGGAAGCGTCGCGATTGCAGAATTGCTTATGTATTTTCACGTATATGCGGTACAAGGGAGGAATGGAGTGTTGGAGATTGCGTGAACGAGAGGTTGCAGGATGCATTCAGAAATGCATTTGGCTCCCGGGAAAACGATCGATGGAGCAGCACAGAAGCGCTCCTCGCGACCTTGAGATAATACTCTTGCCAATTCTTAAAAATTTAACGAAGATTCATTAATTATGTCTGAAATAAGATATTTTATAATAATAAAAAAGATTTTTTTTTTTTGGAATTGCTATGCACTCAACATGACAGTTATTAAAAATACTTGAATACTTTACTTCATTTAATTTTATTTTAAATTTTTGTGTCTTCTCAATCTTTCCTATCTTAGAATAGCATTATTTAAAAAAAATGTAAAAAGTTCCTGAATATTAAGTAGCTAATATATTGTATTTAGTTATAAAATCTTTTCTATCATATTGCTAAAAGAGAGTTAATGCAGCAAAGCGTGAAAATCATTGCGCATCATCTTATACTTCGGGAGCAATTGCCGAGAATACGTTTTACGCGTCCAACATTTCCGTCAAAAAGAATATTCCGTTACATGGAGATGAGAGCCGCCAGCCGTTTACTTGGCGGATGTTGCTGCGGGTGACGTATTAAGTTAACGTCATGACGTCGTTCGCAACGAGAGAACGATCTACGTCAACTATATCGGGACGACGCTCAACATCGGAGATGCTTCGGGAATGTAAATCCTCATGGACCACGCGAGGCCCTTTAACTTCTAAGCGGATGCACGTCGACGTTAAGTGGATCGAATTTGTCCGAGATAGATAAATCCAATATCTTATCTTTTCAACAACGCGTCCTTATTTGTAATAAGATTTGTTTAACATTTACAATAAAACATTTACAAAAATATCTGGCAACATATTTCGATCTAATATCATGTTAAATGATAATGAAATTAAATTATAAGTCGATAAAATGAGAAGTTTGTTGAAAAGACAAGAAACAATAATTAATTCAAACAAAATCGTATTTAAAGTTTACGTATTTAGTGATATTTAAAAGTCTATTGTGTTTCACTTCTAAGGAAATATAAATATTTATAAGAATTCAGAACTATAAGTTTTTTTTATCTCGCAAATATAGTTGAGTAATTTAATAATCTTACCTTTTCTCGGTCTCCGATGTGAATCAACATATGTGCCTTGCCCTCTTCTAGGTAAATCTGCAAGCGATCAGCGCTGTTCTCAAAGCTAGTCGCTAATAGAAGGCCGCGCGGTCTCGTCGTTTTGAATCGCACGACAATTTCTTCCGCCTGTGTTCTGGAGTCCTCTGGCATCAACGCCGTCATTTGTTGCGTACCATTCAGATGCAATGTTGACGCATCTACAATAAGGAATAATAACTTGTTACTTATTAAAAACTCATAAATTACATGCTCGCGTAAAATTCAGCTCTCTTTAAGCTACATAAATTTTCTCTTGTGGAATTATTTAATGATTAAGTTTTAAACCTAAATAATTTATTGTAGAAGCATGTCAGAGGCTTGTTTTTTTTTTGTTTTAAACATCGAACTACTTTGAAAAAAGCCACAATTAAGTATATTTTCACCTTTGCCACAGGTAGGTCCTGTGAAAGATGTGTTAGTGCAATCGCAGTGAAATCGATTCCACCCTTCAAGGCAAACGCTACGATGCATACACGGATTCGAAGAACAATGCGGGGCTTGCATGTGACATGCGGGTCTTACTGCACCTGTAAAATATATGCACAATCGTAAAGTATTATATTGAAGAATTAATCAACTTAATGCAAACAAAAGAGTACGCCAATAATATCTGTAATCTAATTTTTAATTTATTTTTTATTTAAAAGTTTTAACAATAGAAAAATTCTTATGCATTTTCAAAAGCGCATTTTTTAATTATTATAATAATTAAAAATACTGATCGTATATTTGATCAACAAATTGGAAAAAAATATAATAATTAAATATCACGCCTGCCAGACGTACTGTAATCTACTTTTTTCCAATAATAAAAAAATCGTATCTCCACTCGCCCTGTATAAATATTAGTAATACCGCACGCCGCAGGATGTTTTTAGTAACAAATAGTTAACAAACATGGTTATCTCTTGTAGGACAGAATAATATTTGGTTTCAACAATATAACTATGGTTTGATTGTTACTTTAATTACGTTATTTTAAATCTATCTTACATTTCTGTTCAAATAAACATGTTATGTTGATTTATAGATAAATTTGTAATTACAGTTAAATATCGATAAGTAATAAATAATAAAATCTAAAATAGAAAAATAATTTTATAACTGTTACGTAGATTCCGTATTATTTTTCGAAATTAGTTACGAATCGTTATTCTTTTTTTGGTTAAGATCTTTTGAGATGGTTTCCTTATCATCTTAAGAATAAATATTAAAATTCAATTCGCTTACCCGAATCTTGTTGCTGCGCATATCCCGCGATGTCTATTGGATTTCCATTAATGACGAGATCTCTCATGCATCCCACGTAGCCTTGTCGAAGGGCGCCCGTCCACAAAACAGGTGGAACAGTTAAAGGCGCAAAAGGTGCGCCCACACCACCGATATATAATAAGCCATCCAAGTCTAATTGCGTGGAATCTCCTATCATTAAATTAGTTGCACTATTAATATATGTTAAAAAATCTATATTATAGTTTTTATGCATTATAATCGGAAATTTATCTAAATATCTAATATATGTAAAAATGTGTATCTATTTAAATATTTAAAATGGTACGTAAATTATTGTACATCATTCGATATGATGTAATCTTAAAAGTATACAATAAACTATATAATTAAGAAAAACTAATTAAAAAAATAAAAAATGTTTTAAGTATAAAAAATATACTTAACTAATATACTTTGTATAAAAAATTTTAATTATTTTCAATAATCATCGGAACAGTGCAAATAATGAATAAAAATCTATCAAAAATCTAATAATCTATACAGCATGTCGTTCATTTAGCGTGCACAATAAATCAATTAAGACTGGCATTTAATAAATTGCAAAAATGTATACACTGTGACACAAACATCGATGTTTAATTAATATCTTTTCTGGAATATCAAATAAATTAGGATTTTCGATATTTTCTGACATTGATCTAAAACTTATCTTCAACATATTTCGATATATTGAAACTTTCATACTTTAAGAAAAAATATATAATAATATTGATATAATAGAAAGCAATAAATCTAAAATTTAGTACTTCCGACATATTTATACCCTACATATCCTTTCTTATATTCCCCTTGTTCGCAAATGTAGATTTTGTTTTCGTTTATACCGCGGTTAAACAAATTATTTCGTAGGGAACATGAAAGCCAAAGATCTTTTTCTGCGCTCAGCAGTGATCCGCGTTATTTGCTCGCGGTTTTACAAGGGCGCAAGGACGGAATTGCTTCAAGCTACGTTGGTATGATTCAAAGGAGAGTTTTGTCGGCGAATTAACCGTCCGTGTAATTCGGCTAACCGCGACAGGCTCTAGTCGTGGTAAGATGAAAACGGTGACAGTCCGACTAAAGTTGTAAATTTATCTCACGAATGTTCGGTGAGAGAGAACAGAAAGAGAGATAGACAAATATATGTATAAATAAAGAGATAGAAAAAAACGGAGAAATTTATTACGTTTCAGAACAATTTCCTCAAACAACAAAATTCAATGTAATTTACTATGTAATGAATAAAACGTGGCAAATAAATCAATTAATAAAGTAGGTTATCGAACGTGTGTGTTTAATTAATATATATCTAGTAATTTCATAATATTCCTTTACGGCACATTAATCTGTTGCTACAAAATAGTATAAACATTTTCTAATTATTTGTTTCAAAAGATTATTTTAAATATAAAAATTTTTAAATATAAAAATATATTATTGAATTTGATTTTTAACATGTAATAGGTAATGATAAATTGTCTACATTAGTCTGGATGAAAAAAATTGAGAGGAAAACATAGAGAGATAGAGTGTAGAGAAGAGTTGCTGATGAGCGACAGAATTAACAGGAAAGAAGAAACAAACAGATAACTCCTTCGCTCGGCAAATTTCAGAGAAAAAAGTAGATACCACTGTTCTGTATATAATGTAGTTAATAATTTATTATTTGTTAATTAATGGCTCTAGACAGTCAGTCGGGTCAGGTAAAAATTTACATTACCAGAAAATTATAAAAATGTTAAAATATGCATTTTATGTAACAAGAACAGAAAAATTTAATTATTCAATTTAGTTGGATAGATATTTTATTGAAACATGTAATTGAAAAAGTGAACTATGTATCATCGTCGTATAATGCATGCTTTTTTCTAAATACGATGTTATTTCAATTACGGAAATATGCGCACATACACATATATATATTTGTTGCATTTAAAATATGCGTGGATATACAAGCTGTCCCGGATTTATCGGATAGCCTTCTCGTTATAGAGATTTTATGGCTAAATTAAAATAAATATTTTCTGTCTAAATGTTGTATATATGACACTTATTGTTTTTGTGTAGTTAATAATTAAAAATAATGATTCTTTCTAATAATTTACAAATTAAGATATTTTAGTTCATATAGAATATATAATAGATTAATAAATTTAAGTGTGTACTAAAAGTTTTTTTTTTCGTTCTATTATTTATTAATTAATGTTTTTATTTTTTAAGCGATCTTCCTATCTTGCTGTTGATATCATATAGTTAATATCATTTTGCTGTTGATATCACTGATTTTCAAGTTCATTAAATTTTTTCTTTAAAAAAGTCAGTGACAGTAAAGTATCTACTACACAGTAACATCTTCAGCAAGCTAAGTCACCGTTATCTGCGGGAGGATATATGGATCCTTGCTATCTCAATGAAATTCTTTTTATCATTTTTGCGGTATCGTTCACGTGTTTGCGGCTGTACATACGTAGTGCTTTATCACTTAGTCGCGGTGCGGTGAGTAAATTCTGGACACACCGCGGTCCACCGACGTAAACGGTGAGCTGAGCGAGCCGAGCCACTCATAATTCAGAGTTACACACTCGAGGACACTTATCTGCCGGACCGGGTTAGACACTTTATGTATATGGTGAGATAGCTCTTTTTGAAAAACTGCTACTGCACGCATAAATAAGCTATGATAGGCATCGATAATTTATCGATATGCAGTTTATGTTTTAAGAGCGATATTGACTCTTTTTCCGAAATATAAATAATTTTATAAGATAATTGGATATATATATAATTATTAATCCAAGATCAGTCATTTGATTTTTTTTATATGTATCATTTTGGAATGTCTTCGCAATTTAAATTATTATTAACAATATATTGTATATTATTAATTATTTTCTGATTTAGTAATATTTGAGAACATTGGATAAGAATTTAATCATAATTTTCTGGAAAAAGAAAATATATATCTATACAAAATATGCAGCGGTCGGTATAGAAAGTTGCGTGACTGTTCCAGTTCAAATCTACCCAGCAGAATACAATCTACATCATGAAATAATACTACTACTATTTTTTCATAATATTATCTTCTTATACAATTGTAAATACTATACACATTTTCTATTTTTTAAAAAATTTTTTCACATATATTTTGACAAGATAAGATAGAAAAAGCTATATAAGTATATATTACCTGGCGTACGAAACTCGACTATGTTGTTGTCGACAGTGACTCGAATTTCTCTCTCGACTCTCCTCAGGACAACGTCGTGCCAGGTGCCATCATCTACGCGTGTCTTTGACGATTTTACTTTAACGGAGCCGCTCCCGAGATCGGCATGCGTATAAAGATATCCACCAAGAATCTCGAATGCAAACAGATCTTCCTGTAATAAATGAAAACGGTCCATTTATTACGATATTGCTACTTCAATGTAAAGTAAACCATTTTCACGTGCACAACACAAGCTTTCTACAAATACGTCAATGTATTTACTTTTATAATACTATTAGATTTTCTAGTGAACATTTATTTAATTGATAAATGGTATTATCAATTTAACAAATTATACTTTGTATAAAGAAGAAATAGAATAGAGAGTCTTTTTAAATATTTAATAAATTGTAGCCAAGTGAGATTTATATTTTTCATTTATGTTTAAAATAAAGGACGCTCATTGTCGTAATTTATTGAGTTTCTGTTATTCTGGGTAGATGGATGAAGATATATTACGTCGGCGTATCGTTGGTGTTAATGGGATTACGAGTAAATGAAGATGTATTGGCTTAAATTTACTAACCATCGAAAAAGACTTGTCAACTTCGGTAAATAACATATGATAAATATCATTAGAGCAATTCACATCTTTTTAAATCTTAGTCTGTAATTAGTCTTTTTGTCATATTTAATAAAAAAATATGTATAATACAAAATATGTAATGTATAATAATTACATAAAATATTTAAATTTATGTCTAATTCTAGAAATTAATTAATATTTATCAATTCATTTTTTTATAATAAATATAATAATAAATAATTAGTTGATTTATGATAGTCAAGTTTATTCTTTACATCTAGTTAATATTTGTTAATTTAATTTTAAAAAATAATTACAAAATTTATGTCTTCTAAATTTAATAATATAATTTTATGTCAAAAAGAATACTTACTTAATATTTTGAAAATGTGTCAAAATACTAAATAATTATAAAATTCAGACGCGAAGGTCGCTGACCGCCAGAATGCATTGATCGTCGGAATGTCACAGGAGGATGGAATTGTGCATCGATAATTAAATTACTGTCAGTCGAGTGTGCAACCGCGACTGAAATGAGTTTTGGGACAAAAGCGACTTGTTATTTTGAAAAACGTTTTTAGTAGCCAATAATTGTTGGACGCGTAATCGCACTTTGACAGCATTTGGTTTTATTGTCCGAAACTCTTCTGTATTATTCCACTTTTTTTACGTAACATATTACGTGTTTTTGTAAATTTATTAAGGGAAAATTTTTATATTTTATTATCCTTATGATTTTTTCATTATGATGATTATTTTAATGAAAAGGGAAAGCTGAATAAGAATACATACTCTCGTTTGTGCTCCGCTGCGACTGTACATGATCAATCCATTGGGCTCGTTCGTACGAATTTTGAAGGATATAGTCCCGGTCTTGGCAGCTTTCCAGGGTGGCAGAACCTGAAACAAATGAGACAGATGGTTTCTACTACGTCGCTTTGGAG